AAATATAGGTATTTTATGGATAATTATATGATAAATATAGGTATTTTATGGATAATTATATGATAAATGTATATATTAAATATATTATATAAATGTCTACTTACTCCTCTCCATTTCTCGAGTTTCATATTTAATTGTGTTTTATCAACAAGGTATTCAGGGAAGCCAATTCGATCAATCATAGCTTCAGCCTAAAAAAAAGAAAAAGATCGATAAATTGTTCAGTCGGCCCAAACGAATTGATTAAAACAAACTGATATACTACACACAACAGGTTTAAAGAAGGGAATAAAATAAGGATATACCTTTTCCAACATTTTACTCTTTGTTGTGTTATCAATCCAAGGGACAAAATCTAGGTTATCTTTAAATGCTTGCCGAACTTCATGTACAAGGTTTATAACCTATATAAATCAGAAACGAAATTAAGTTAATTGCTTCCTTTCTTTCCTTTATTTTATTTTATTTTATTTTTCTTCCTTCCTTCCCTCCTTTCTTCCTCTTATAGCGAATATAAGCACACAGTTCATTGTGGTTGACTAGGATTCTTAATAAATTTCCAAACCCCCTCCTTTTGAAGGTTGCCCTATTTTTAAATCGATTAATATCTTTTCCAAGTGGTCGAAACTGCAAGAATTTTGATAAATAATCGTTTTCATTACTGAAGATATCTAGAATAAAACTTAGGTGTCTATTTATTAAAATTCTGAATATTATCTTATGGTCGGGTCAACTAGCCACTTCCCTTGGGCATGTTAGGTGACCTATACCTATCAACTTGAGCATTAAGATTACCATTATGACCAGTTGCTTTATTAAAACCATATGTATAATATACATTGTAAGAAATCATACCATATTTTTGGCGTTTCGGTGTTGAGTAAGATCAGAATTTATGTATACTGCGCCTAATACGTCTGTAAAAGCCAGAGTAGTATAAGAGACACATTTTTCCCAAAGAGGCTTATCTCCACTTGAACCATAGCGAATATTTTTGAAGTTTACGGAAAGATTCCTGTAAGGCTCGGACAGATAAAAGAGCGTATCCTGAATCCCATGCCACACAAGATAATTTGCCAAAGTGCTGTTGAATGAAATTATATGGCCTTAATCACAATCGTTTGACTTACCTTTGACGACATGGTGCCTTGCTGAAGTAAAATTACATGATCGGGGAGGGGGGGCAACCGCCAACCAAGTTTAAAAAGCATAGATTGACGAGGTTACGTTTTCACTTAAGGAGACCCGAAACGCGCGCGGGAGCGCTCTAGGTCCGATGACGTTGACCTTGCAAAAGGAAAATTTTCGTACTCATAAATTTTAATATTCAAACTGAAAAAAAATTGCGGTGAAAGTTCTTCAAATTTTGCATAGGGCTTTAGTTTATGTTCCCAAAAACGTAAGGAAATGTTTTTTTAAATCTGTAAGAGCGAACTATTTGGAACAAATTTTATTGATTTCTACGAATTCCCTCTTACAGAATTTTTCTTTTCTTGCCAAATAGATTACTATACAAAGTTGAAATATTCACCATTTAGTTTCTGAGTTATGATTTTTTAAACAAATATTTTTGATGGCATAGCAAGGGTTCTGATGTTGTCTAAGCAACATCTTAGTCATTTTTTCATGTTACTGTTATCTTTGGTTTATATATAGTCTTTGGCTTTCCAGGTTTACTTGCTGTCATATTATAGCCATAATAATTTTTTTTTTTTTTTTCAATATTTGCCCCCTAGGGATCCCATAATGCCTTGATTGAAACAATAGAATTCAAGATGGCCCCATATAGGTAAAAAGGTATACTTCTTATATTTCGAAGCATAAGAAATTCTTTCAAGTTAAAAACGTTTTCCGCATACGTTGTGCTAAGGAAGCCCGTAATCTGATATTTCATCAAGATTTATTAATGATGTCGGTTTTTCAATTTTGCCTAAGTGAAAGTCTATTACGTCCGTAAAAAGGCGTATTACTTTAGCTTACCTCTTTTTAGTCTTGTTAACTAGGTTCATAACCTTCTTTAAATAGGGCAATGTCGGTGCTTTAACAGTTTCGTTTGGAGTTATTGTAGTTGGGGCAAACAACTCATTCAGATAGTTAAGCCAGGCAAACTATATACAAAGATACAAATATATATTATGAGGGACAGATTTATAAGCTTTTGAAAGGGGAACACCATTGATTACTAAGAATGAAAAAATAATATTTTCCATAACATAATACGATAACTCAAACAAATTATTAGCCATTTCATTTTAAATATGTGTTTTTTAACACCTGATACACGACTTTCACAAATAAGTTTCTTAGAGAAAGTGATGCCTTTTTAACAGAAACTATCAATGCTCTCAATGTTCTCACTGAATACTCATTATGTTATGAGTGAGATATCCACGACTTTTGTTTTTGATAATGAGGTAAACCGCCAGAACGTCAGAGGAACACGAACACCACTACCACCAGGGCCGGGTTGTTCAAAGCTGGATTAGCGCTAATCCAGGATTAACTCTATAGGTCTTATTAAGAGTTAACCCAGGATTAGAACTAATCGGGCTTTGAACAACTGGGCCCAGGCCTGTAGGAGTGCAAAGTACGGCTTCCAAAGCTCCAAACGACGTTACGCAATAAATCCAACAAGGCGCGTGTGAAGTTTATCGGCAGTGTTCCGTGTTCATTACTTATTCGGTGAGAATAGCTCGGTAATGGAAACTATGAGGGAGGAAAGTTATCGTCGAAAAAATCATTATTATAATCATCTCAAAAGAAAATGAACTAAGAGAAGGAATCCCCCCTATATAGCCTTGTAACCATCATGTGCACAGTTTGATGCTATTTTTAAACCATTTGTTTTTCTGCACGCGCATGCATTTACTGCGCGCGCTCTACGCTGTTTGCTTACGTTTTTGGGGTTTTTCCGTTATTTCGACTCGGCCCTGCATATAAATGTGCACGTCGAAGCTTGCCAAATACGACAGGAAATTGAAGTACTAATTTGTTCAACTTTCTGGAGTATTGTTACATTTATTTTCCAAAGATTTCGACCTACAACTCATCTTGAGGGCAGATTTGAACATTTGAACATAAGAAAAGCACAAGAAAACGTTACAAACAGCATAGAGCGCGCGCGTACTATGCGCGTGCAGAAAATCAAACGATCAAATAAATGATATCATTGTATGATATTTTTAGAATAGATTCTAAAAATAGCATCAAAGTGTGCACATGATGGGGCACGGGGATTCCTTCTCTTAGTTCATATTCTCTTGAATCAACTTCATTACTCACGCCAGGTGCCTCTATCTCTAGTTCACTTAAAGACATCGTTTCATACATGGAGTTCTCTTTATCTGTGGCTGATACAGTTATCTAAAAAGTGCACAAATTATAATGATTCAGTTACCATTGAATGTAAACTACACTTGGGCCGTGAAGGGTTAACGCAGGCTGGATGCATTTTGTTGGTATAACGCAAAAGGCCACGTTCGAGATTAATTTCTAGCACTAAATCGAGGCTGTTTGCAATAAAAAAATTTTTTAATTGCATTAAATCTCAAAAGTATTGATATAAATAGAGCTGTAGTTTCGGTTATAACGTTATTGAGTAGGGATCTGAATGGTGAATGGTGAAAATAAAATCGGAAAAACTAAATTTCTTTTTTAATTCGATTTTTAATTCGCTTGCAGAAAATGTTCTACCATACGTACCTACGTAGGACTCGGCAGAGAACAAATTTCGGCCTTACTAATTTTGTTTTCACCATTCACTTTTTAATCTCAATTGGGCTCCCTGTAAAAATGCCCAACGTCAAACTGCAGTTTGAGGTTTCCGGTACCTAGCAAGAACGTATTGTTAAAGGTCTTTATTGTAATAATGATTTAGCACCGAGGGTGCGGGGTTCGAGCCCTGCCTGAAATCGATTTTTTTGTTCCTAAAGTCCAACACCTTGGTGTTCTGCCAGAAACCTTTGACGTACTTGGTAAACCCGTACATGACGATACTACTGTACTGTACTTTCATACTAGCAGCAGTTTAATTCGAAAATATATGTTCTCCTGAATAAACAGTTATTAACTTGCTACTCACATTTCCCAGTTCAGTTTCGAAGTCTATAATTTCTTGGGCTTTGGTGGCAATGAAAGCCTCTTTGTCACGTCCAAACAGCAATTTTCCAATTTCGACTATAAATCTTTTGTACTTTTCAGTAATCTGGGGAAAAAGGTTTTTTTTCAAACTCTAGTTAACAAGCGCCTCGTGAATCCATACTCTATGTGTGACTATGTGATGACGCAATTTATCGTCAATAAGAGGACAGACACATAAAGAACTGATGTCTATTTGTTTTTTTACAATAACAAAAACGATAAAAACTTCTCATTTTTAGCGATCAAAACAACCAACGAAAAGAGCGCGCGCTCGTTGACGTCAGCATTATCTGTCTGTCCTCTTATTGATGATAAAAAATAACCAATCAGCGCGTGAGAAATTTGTAAGTTATTGTAAAAAGGTTGATTCATTCTCTCTGTCTTGACATATATGAAAGGTAATACCTGAATGTTTGAATAGAGGTCCTTTTGCAGTTTTATTCCAGCTTGATCAATCTACAAAATAATATAAAGCAATATTGTTAATTCTGTAAATCAGACATGACCCATATACCTTATTACACACCAGTTGCTTAATTATTAAATTTACATATTTAAACAGTTTTAAAGCAATCTCCCTGAGGTTTTTGGGTTAAACAAGGTTTTAAATTTGTTTTATTATCCGTGCGCGCGGTAAACGTCCTCTTCTTAAACTAAACAACTTTTAAACGTGTCTAAAGGGCTGGTATGAACGGTATTTATTAATTAATAGATCAAAAACAGTTTTCCATGTTTGATACTCTGATCAAAACACGCAGGATGTGGAGAGAACACGAGAGGAGCGTAGGAAAAAACGACGCGTAGCGGAGTGGTTTCCAGCTTCTCGAGTGTTCTCCCACCATCCCAAGTGTTATGATCAGAGTATCAAACACAGAAAACTGTTTTCGACTTGTTTTATGAAATAACAAACTCGCGAAAAGATCGAAAAAAAGCAAATTTAAATAAATTCTCCCTACATGCCGTCTTATTCAAACTGACCAATGAACGCGCGCGATAGACTAAAAATGACGATAGCGTGTTTTGATACTCTCATCAAACATGGTTTTCGACCAATCATAGCGCGCGTAGTATCCCAATTATGTCATAATTACTTTTCAAACACATGAATACGCCTGGAAAGAAACCCAATAGAAGTCACTAAAGTAACGTATATATTTATCAGCAGATAAAGGTTTGTCCTCATTTGCTTGAAAATTGAACCTCGATTAAATTTTTCTCATCTCAAAATATTTCAACCTAGAAATTCTAGTCAAATATGAAATCAAAAAAGTCAAAATGGAACGAAGACTTTATTAACCAAAGAGCTATTTTACTTACCACAATCATATTTCTGCTGCTATTCTGTATATCTGCAGTAAGATATATAGAAAACAATGGCCCCTCCTGGCTATAGTCCTTGTGAATGGTTAGTAGAACTTTTGTAAAGTTCCAATTGCTTTCATTCCATCCAGCGCACACTCCATCAATGCACCAATTTCCCATCTTTTTGATTAGTTCCCTCAAAGGTGCATCGCCTAATTTCGTGATTGCAGCAATGTTCATGCACGACTTGTACAATTCTATTGGCATCCTTAGAAACTCCTCGTCAGCTACCTTGTCATGAATTCCATTACTCAAGGTTGTTCTAAGATAATCATTCGTCTTGTCTCTTAATATATGTGGAATTGGATAATATGCGACTCCACCTTCAAAACGGTATCGATTGTTTCTCTCCCATCCTCCACAAACATACTGATAAAAGTCATCACAAGGGTTTACATTCATATCCATTGAGCTCTTTATATACCTGGCAGCTTCCTGACATTTTGATGTGTTGCAGACCTGAATGCTTTGATTGGTCCGATGTTGCAACAATTCTTCATTTCCCTTCCAATGAATGTCACCATCCATTAGAGTTGTTCTTTTAAGAAAGGAATTTTCGTTTCCGCCAATTGCTACATTCATCGTGGCAATCAAAATCAAAATGCTGAAGACACTTGGACGACTCATACCCTGGGTTCGTTGTCTTCCACAGTCTTTATGGCTTGTATTCGTACTCATGATAAATGTATTAGTACAGTCTCTGCCAGTTATCTTCTGTGGTCTTGTCTGCCTGAAAGAAATGTACTTTATCGCTCTAATGCTATCGAGCTAGTGACAATTTTCCCTATTGATTTACTATTATATGAACAATCTGCTAATTTTTCACCTGCCGAAATATTGAATCACCTGTCCATATACACGCATATTTTAAATATCTTTCATCCTTTTCATACTTTAAATGTCTTGTCATCACAGTAGCTTTGATGAAGT